GGAGCCATTGCATGGATGAGTGTTGATGGGGTTTTTTGGTAGAACCGAGGTTTCACTTCCGCACAAACAGAGCCTGAAGCGGTCATTCGCCTGACATCTTCGATAGAGTAAGGGAGATTTTTACTTTTTAAGAAATGTTCTATTCCAGGATGTCCAATGTCACAATGAATTCTACGGAGTTTTTCGGAATCTCTACAAGAGATGGAAGATGAAACTCGTGAAAATGCATCTGCTACTACATTTTCCTTGCCAGAACGGTACACTATGTCGTAAGAGAAAGGTGCTAGTTCCAATCGCCACTTTAAAATCTTGTTGTTCTTAACCTTTTGCGCGTGTTTCTGATTGAACATATAGGACACAGATTTCTGGTCTGTAATTAATTTAAACCGTCTTCCAATCAGGAAATGCCACCATTTCTGTATTGAATCGAATAGTGTATTGTGAGGGCCTCTTTTTCCACAGCAGGTAGATGTTGTTCACTCTTAGTTATGGTTCTTGAAAAGAAACATATTTAGCCTTCCAGCTTGTGAAATGGTTTTTATATAAATATTCCAAATTTATATGGTTTTATTCAAATTAATAATCTGCTATATTTTAAATGAGAGAATTAATTATGTTTTCAGGACTTTTTTATGGTTTCTATATATGTAGAATTCTTCTTTAATGAACAATTTGTCTTTGTTTGGTTCAAATTCAATTACTGATAAATTATTATCTACGTTTTGATATTTATGATTAGTTTTTAGTAAGTGTTCTGCATAGTTTGATTTCATACTTGTTGAATTTTTAGACTTAAATGCCTGTATATGGAATCTTGGTATCTTGGAATCTACATTTAAAGCTTCTACTAGTTTGGCCAATATAATACTTGTTACAGTCTGTAAAGGAAATTTTTTAAATGCCGCTTTTGTTAAATTTCGATGATTCTTAGTTATTTGTTGATGTTTGGAAACTTTTGAATTTATAATCTTAAAGACGTTGTTTTTTGTTCTATATGTTGCTTTGTAATTTGTTTTAGATAAGGCTTTCCTTATTGCTTTATTTAATTTAGAGTTATGAGGGAGATGTAGGCCTACCTACTATTTTTTTTTTCAATTTCTCTTCTTTCTTCTTTTGTTTCTTAATTTTGTTCTTCATCATATTATCAATGAGATTGTCTTTATATTATATCCATTTTTGGCTGCAATATATTTTATTATCTTCTTTTCTTTTTCAAAATTTGTTTTGTTTAGTGGCAATGTAATTAGCCTGTAAATCATAGAATGAAATGCTGCAATTTTTTGTTGCCAAGGGTGGTTTGATGATTATTATGCATTATCATTCAATGCATTATCATTATTATTCACGCAAATTGCTATAAGAATGTGCAATTTGGATAGTTATATCTCACTTCTACTTCCGGCAACAGTCATTTTTAGAATTTTCCAAATTTCTTAACATTAGCTAATAAAATCTCATATTTCTCAACTTTTAACCTACATAATGATATTTTCAATGGCATTTTTAGAATCGTCATTAAATTTTCTATCAAACCACGTATAATATAGTACAGCTAAACCTATTTAAAAGCTTTTAAATTTAACATAAATAACAAATTTTAAAAAATCAATAAAAAGGGTGCTACAACTCGCTTAAGAAAATTTTGAATCAAGACGTGTTAAAAACTGTCAAATAGTATAAAAAACATCTCCACATTTTAAGCTTTAAAATGATATGCAATATGTGACATGTAATGTCAGCCTAAGGGGAGAAATACAGTATTGCATTAAACATAAAAATAATCATTTTTTATTTAAATCCACTCATTAATTACGAGAACGCATTTAGTGAAAGTTGTGTGCAAAAGGTATCTATTGTCGGGACCACGTAAGTTTGCAGTTGAGGGAGGAGCCTATTTACCATATGGTTTTGAATGAACCAATGAGAACCGTGCGGTGTTGCCAAATCTGTTAATACCAGCTGATTTTAATATAATGCTTAGTATATTTTAATTAGTGTTGTCAACGGGCGATGTGGCAACGTCGCACTAGCCTTGTCTTGTGATTGGCTGCCACCAACTGCAAACTTACGTGGTCCCGACAATAGTGAAAGTTGTGTGCAAAAGGTATCTGTATTACCCCAAGTAAACTTGTAAAATTTAATACTGTAGTATAGTACAGCCCAAACTAGTAGTGCTTTGAATGCCTCGTAAAATTAGTGAAATTTATAAATACACACGTTAGTTGTGATTACGAAGATACTGATCATATGTAATTAAGATTATTTCTACTGAACAAATTTTTAACCCTTTGAGGTCGAATTTTTTCCCCATGTCAAGAAATTTGGAAAATTCTAAAAACGGCTGTTGCCGGAAGTAGGAGTGAGATATAACCATCCAAATTGCGTATTTTTATAGAAATGTTTGTGCATAATATTGATTTAAAATATTTGACACTGACTACCAAACACCCTGTATAAATCTGCTAGGCCTAATAAGCCAGAAAGAGGGCTACACATTGCAAGACCATCATTCTGTTTGTAATATTTGTTATTGTATTCAAAGTAATTTTGTTCCAAAGTATTTTTGTGAGATTGATGATGTCTTTTATTTAATTTTGTTTTAGAGATTTGTTTCTTATTAACTCTTCTTGTATGATATTAATTGTTTCTTTCATTGGGATAGGCTATTTGAATACATGTTAACAAAACCGAAGGAAATAAATATTGAATTTTGTGGAATTTGTATGTTTTTTTTATGTTGTTTACCAATTCATATGAGTTTTTGATTTCAAAGTTATGTTTTTAATTTATGTTATTTTTTATTTTATCATTGAGAAATTTACTTCCATTGTATGTTGGTGCCTTTCTGAAGTCGAACACTGGTCTTATAGGAATGTTTGTTTTGTGGGTTTTTGGTCGACCTTGGAGTGTAGGAGATTTTGGATTGTTCATTTTTATGCGAGTTTTAGTTTGTTTTGGAATAGTTTTATATTTTGTAATAGCTTGGTTTATGTTTTTTGAATAATCATTAGTTGGATCTTTTGTCAAGGTGTCAAAGTCATTATTTTGAATGAACTCGGTAATTTTGGAATCATAATCTTGTTTGTTAATGATAACAATTGAATTGCCTTTGTAATAATTGCATTTTTTCTACTAATTTTTTTGATATTGATGATATTATCTTTAGTTCTTGTTTAGATTTGTTAACCATATTCGTTTTTGGAGTTTCTTTCTCTGTTTTATTAAGTTTGTGTATGAAGTTGTGTCTAATTGGTTCTTGCAATTTTACTTGTAATTTTACTTCTAATTGCTGCTTCAATATCTAATAGATCATTTTCGTAGACATTGTCTTTGAAATCTAGGATTATATTGTATCTCTGTGATTTTTCTAGTAGGTTTTTTTCATGATTTGTAAAATTGATATTACTTAGGTTTTGAAGTTCATTACTTAAATTTGTATCATAGATTTTGTTAATCTCTATATTTGTGTTATCTGCTTTTTGAGATTGAATAAGATTTGTAAATATTTTCTTTATTTAGAGTTGCAATTTTCTTTCTATTATTGGGCGAGTCCAGTTAGTTATGTATTGTATTATTTCGTCAATAGCAGAAACTATTGACGAAATAATACAATACATAACTAACTGGACTTTTTTGGTATGGTATGAATAAGAATAAGAATAAGAATATGTTTATTGTCTTTCAGGCTACATAAGCATTAACAAAGTCAAGTTTACAGCAGAAATGCCAAGTCTCTATACTAATAATTAGGCCTAAGGGTAATATCACATATCATAGAAATATACAATTCATAGGAACTATACAAGAATCAAAAATTATACATAACAGATTTCAAACATTAAAATTCTATCTGTTTTAATAAGAAAAATTCACTAAGTGAATAGAAAGGATTTTTAGATAACCACTCATAAAATTTGTTCTTAAAAACTTTAACAGTATATTTCTTACTAAGATTAATTACTTTATTATATACCTTAAGGGATAGTACTACATGACTAGACAGTGATTTGCTGAGCCTATTGTACTCAATTACTGCTTTATCCCTATTACGAGTGTTGTAACTGTGCATATCCCCAGTGAGTGTAACAAGATCCTGATTTTTTAGTATATAAGATACAAGTTCAAAAATATTATGTTTTGATTAGTTCATGGTAAATTTTCTTCTTTTGTTCAATAGTGATTTGTAGTTTGGAATATAGGTAGTTTATTTCTTCTTTTGTCCAAATTTTCCTTGATGTTTCTAATGTTTTTGTTGCGGCTTGAGATTTGCATTTTATGTTAACTTGGACATAATTTGGAATGATGTTTTCTCTCAAACAATTCTTATTAAATTTCAAATTTTTGTTATATATATGTCTATGTGTGTGTGTGTCCGTGAATGCAATAATTTTAGTAATTTTGTCCGATTTTGATGAAATTTGGTTTAAATGTGAAAGGCGGGATAAACTTGAATGAGTTCGTGAACCAGCACGATCGGACCATTGGAACGTGGTTTAATGGGTAAAAATTGGTTTTTCTCATTTTTGGCCCACAAAACACGAATTTTTAATTTTTCTCTAGATTTTTTTAGAGAGCTTAAAAAAACATATAATTTAGCATAAAAAGTGTTTTGTACGGTTATTGGTAACGGAAAAAATTCAAAAAATTGTAAATTTAAAATTCTCATGTTATTCTTATGGAGAATATTTTAAAATGTTGTAGTTTGCTTGTTTATGGATAGCCTATATTTTGATCAAGCTTGGCAATTTTATTTATTTTATACTAAGCTATTAATAGGTATGTTACTTAAAAACACACTTTATTAGTTTCCTTGTAGCAGCAGACCTAGGTACTCGTTAAACCTAATGTTATTTAAAAGATTTAATTGAAAGTCAATTCAGACAAATGGAAATTCGCTTAGTCAGCAGGTTTGCTGCGGCGGGGGTGTTTTATTTTCTATTATACATCTATTCTCTTATCCTCTATGATCATGGTCTCATCAGGAATTTAATATATTTTAGGCATTCACTGAACTTCAGCAAAAGATGATCGAAACCACAACAAAACTACAGCTGGCAGATATCCAGATTGATGGTCTAAAGCGCCAGAAGCACCATGCAGAATTGACGGCCCAAGAAATTAAGGTAAGGCACTTGAGCTCACAGGTTTCATAATCATAACTTTACCATATTTTAAGACATTATTGTGAGGTAGGGCCTATCTATATAACCTATTAAAGAATATTGGTTTTTTTTAGTCTGTTTGGCTCTTCTACCCAACCGATTTCTATAATTTTGGTCTTAAATTAAAGGTATGCATGCACCGATTTGCCATCAAGTATCATCACTCATTTATCTACTGTATTAGGCCTACTCGACCACAAAAACATAAATTTGATTTTTTAGCAAATTTCCCATATTTAGCGAATTTCCCATATAGGGAATAAGCTATTACCGCAGGTCTCATGGTAAGACCTAGACCCGGGACCAATTGACTTTTTCGTTTTAAGGTCCCCAGAGGCTAGGCTACAAGAGTTTTTTTTTTTGCTTAACAATAATTAAATATACCTAAACTTTCTTTTTTCCATTATATTGAATTTTAGCCTCCTGATCACAGTTAAATACTAAATAATGGTGTAAATACCTGCATTTATGTGATCAATTTGTTGCTAAATTGCAACCGGTTTCGACTCACAAAGGAGTCATCGTCGGGCCAGTACAGATGTCTTCTTGCTTCATTTGAAGGTTGTCAATTCATGATAAATAAATACATTTAACACGCACACGTACACGAACATAAAAACAAACATTTAGGGCTAAAACGAAAGATAATACAATACGGTAACGGGACACGACGTGATCGGGCGGGGGTTATGTCTAGACTGCCGGTCAGGATCAGCGTGGTCAGTGATGACGTCGTGCCTGGATTTCCCGATCAGCTGATAACTTCATTCACAACTGTCCCTTGCGCTAGTATCTTGATTGCAGTGTCGTAAATGTAATTTGATTGAAATGAAATCTTGTCATTGTTATTTAGAAATCAGATGTTCTGCTAAGGTCGAGGTCTGTGCCGCTGTAGTTCTTTTTGGTAGATGTTCTTTAAACCTTTTGTTGAAAGAACTGGATGTTTGGCCTATATAATATTTTGGGCAGTCATTACAATTGATTTGGTAACTGTTTTCTCAAAGGTTGCAGAAGGTGTCTTGGGACGATTTTTTAATAGCGAACCAAGTTTATTATCAGTTTTGAACGAAACTGTGATTTTATTGCTGTTCATTATATTTTTAAATTTAGTGTTGAGGAACGAACCATACTTCGCAGAAACATAGGTTTTCTTTTCTTTATTTTCGGTTTTTTTATTTTTATGCTTGGAAATCAGTTTATCAATCAGGTTGCTTTGGAAACCATTGGAAACAGCTATATGTTTGATTGGATTGATTTCTTCGGTATAATCTATTGTGTTCATTGGTATTTCTTTTTTTGTACATAAATGAACTCTTGGCATTAATCTACTTGTGTTTTTGCCATCATCAATACAGAATTCCATTCACCAATTAGATGGATTTATACGTTTCTAATTACATGTTGTATAATTTATAATTTTCAGACTCTATCCCCCGAAACAAAAACGTATGAAAGTGTAGGAAGAATGTTTGTACTGACAGAAATTCCAGTTGTTTGCAAAAACTTGCATGAAAAAATCAGTACATGTGATGAGAAAATAAAGTCTCTTGAGGTAAGCCCTAGAAAATATTTTGTTAAAGAATAGAAAGAGGTCATTGAGTGTTAGGAAGTCTTTTAAATTGCCCAGACTTGCATGAAGTTTTTAAGACAAGCTTTTAAGAAAACTTTCCACCGTTTACAACTATAAGATATTTTTTAGTTAACTTTGTGCTCTGAACCTTTGTTAGCATTAATTTTTTTTTTTTAAATAGCCTAACTTAAATATAGGGTTATTAAAAAAGAATGATGGAAAACTAAACGGTTGGTACCTACGTCTTTTTCCGTGATTTCAAATAGCTGATTGTTACACCAATGGAAATGGAGTGTGTATAAGTTTGTTTTAACAAATGTATGTTTAATCTCAGTTAATTAGTTGAGTACTACAAAGCCTGTCAACAAAATTGAAGAATATCAGCAAGAATCGAAGCTATGATATATGAAATATGTACTTTTTGGCTTGTCAGTGCCCTTTAATGCTTATAATAACTGCGGTTTGAATGGCTTTTGTCTCAAACGCTTGTGTAAACCCGTGGACGGTGGTATATCATGTTCCCTACCAGCTTTGACTGTCAAGGTTTTTGTTTATGGACTCCGTGCAATCTTGGCTTAAATTTTCTCCACAGCATCTGGCGGAGTCCGAGTTTACAGCATCGCGGACAACGACGATAACGTTTCACGATTTTGCCGCCGGATGTCGACGATGATGTTTCCGTGACCACAGGTGTCAATGATGATGTCTACACGGCTGCGGGAAATGTTCATAATTTTGCCGCGATCGCAGACGACGACGCTGACGTTTCCGAGACCGTTGGAGACAAGGATGACGTTTCCGTGACCGAGGGAGACAGTCAATGATGATGTCTACACGGTCGTGGAAGATTTTCATGATCGTAAAACACCCAAATTGGCTAGTTAGAATTTTTCATTGCTGCATATTTTTACTTGAAAACATCCCTTTATCTTACTAAAACTTAATAACAGAAAGACAGTGGTTAGTTTAATATAACCAAATTATTTCAAAAATGTAACCAACTGTAAAAATTGGTATCGTTATCATTGATCAAGAATCGAGAATCGGTTGGCCTACATTTCGGTATCAATTTATCACTAATAGTTTAAAAAAACTAGTCTTGAAAAATCTGGAATTAGTCTTGAATTTTAAAATGCAAATAAAATTGACACCCTGTGTAATCTATTTGACTATAATTGCGACGTTCCACGATCCCAGTGATGCAATAGGTTTTATTTTTTAACCTCTTAAACAAATCAAACACCTCGAGCAATTCTCGGTCCCCTGGTACTATCCTTTAAGTAAATTTTGTGCAGATTTATAACAGACCCTATAGTGATTTTGTGTTGTTTCAGAGCAACAAGGGCTATTTAGAGCGAAGTTTGAAAGATAGCAAGAACAACTTGAGAGAAATGGTTCAACAGCGCAAAGAGGCTCCTCAGGAAGCCACATAACTAATATTATAAATAGTTTGAGGTTAACAATGTAACAAAGAGCTCAAGGGCATAAATTTTTAGGATTTTTAGTGAGGATAGCAGGCTTACCTGATTGGGAAAGAGTCTAAATGACATAAGAGAACAAAACTTTACCCTATGAACACAAAACATTAGATATTTCAATGTCACTGACACTTTTCAACTAAGGAAGAGAGAGAGATATATTATATTATAGTGTACTTTTTGGCAACATTGTTGCAATAACTTCCTGGTCACCATTAGGCCTCTTTCTTCTTTAGTTGAAAATGCTGTCAGTGACAGTGAAATATTCTAATGTTTTGTGTTTATAGTGTAAAGATGTGTCTTTCTTGTGCCAGTTTGTACAGTTTTCTATTCAGGTAAGCCTGCTATCCTCATTACTAATCCTAATATTATAAATTACTAATCCCTCCTTTAGAAATATTTATTTATTAATAAATTTGTTAACACAACTTTATGATATTTTGTACTGTTTATTGAAATTAAACATTTGCAGTAAAATACTACAGTTTAGTTTATAATTTTAGCATGAGAATGTCTTAACCTGAGAATGAGGACTTAATTTTGTTCGGTTTAATTTATTAACTTAACATAATATCAATCACCTATTTAACCTTTCAACACATTACATACAGTAATATTGTATAAAAAAAGTATAAAATTAAATGTATCATCAAAAAATAAAGTGATTTTTATTTGTTAGCAAAAAACACCTGGGCCATTTAAAAACTGACCTAGTTTTTTAATCTTAATTAATTATTTAAAAAATTTACTCCAGTTGGAAGAGCCTATTAACCCTTCAACAATGTTTGAGGTACCTATGTACTGCCATTTAACGGCAGGGTAGCCTGCATTTACTCGCTGGCGCTTGAGTCAGTGGCAGCTAGCTAGCCCATAAGGACTCTCGGACGCCGCCCTCCCAACAATACATAAATAAATTAAATTTTATCATAGACAATTAGAATTAAATATAGACCGACAGCAGTGCTGCGGTTAGCCTATGTTAGTGTAAGTCCTTCCGTCCCATCTCTCTGACCTCCTTCCTTTTGAAGGCTCTAGAGAAACTCTCTCTTCAGAAGAGAAAATGAGGGAGATGAGATGCAATAGCACTGTTGTGTTACAGGATGTTTTATATGTAGTGAGGTTTAGATGCGTTGTTGGACCTAGCTAGATGTGTACCTATATCAAAGTAAAAACCCTGTACACATTTTTTTTTAATACCTGAATTGCCATTAATACACCTACTTCACCAAAGCCATAGATTAAACATACTCCGTGGTTAGTCTATTCCAAAACTTGAACACAGCTCACATCCTCTACGTACTCATCTACACTTGCACGGTTTTTATTGTATGACACAATTTTCTACCCGATTATCAAAAACTTTTATGCAAAAAATCTCACGAACTTCTGACGTTCTTTCTTGAATGTAATAATAAATGATTATTGAAAGTAGACAGAAAAAGGCAAGTGCCAACCCCTACAATAAATATAAGCCAACCTGATAAGGAATAATTGAATATTCCTTTGAAATTGACATATCCCCCACTGATTTCATATGCACTTTCCTAAGAGTAGACGTTTGAACAAAAAGTTTAAAACGTATTAAATTCATCATTTTGTTAATACTATAAAAAAAAAACTTGCCATGCAGTAAAGAATCATTTTTAAAATCATAAATAATAATGTAAATATTTAATTTTCACAGTTGCAGTAAATGCTCATAACACTTGACCATTGAATACAATTATTTAAACTAGTGGTCGTCCAGTGGTCGAAACTCGACCTAAAATATCCAATGTACAGGCTTCTCTATTTTCACCCCACGCTGTAAATAAAACATGTGATTGTAATTTCTTCCATTTGTTTTGATTTTCTGTTTATATTTTGTTGTTATTTCGTCGCCAACATGGCAACCCATAAAGGCCATGTTAATTTTTTTTTAATTTCAAATCAATTTTTTGTGCTTATATTTGAGCCTATTTTAATTTTTAAAGGGATTCTGCACTTCTACAGGAAAATATCTTTCTACAGGTATGCGTAGATTTTCCCTGCGATGCACACGAGCTGAGAAAAAAGGTTTTAAAGAAACATGTTTGCCTATTAATATAAAACTAGTGTACCTGTTGCTCGAATTCGAGCAATTGCGAAGCATTACAGGCGACTCAAAGATTATGGAAATACTCACGATCTACACAACAGTTAGATATAATCAAAATCTTTTGTAAATATCTTATCTTTTTTCAAAAAGCTGATCTTGTTTTTTTAGTGTTTTTAGGGTAAAAAAACATTATTTCTATTTCTTCTACTTGGTTCTGTCCCTCTCATAGCCGCATTAGGTTGTCTATAATAACGATTACAAATGAAAAAAAAAACATTATTATTATATGACTATTTCTATGTTTCCATTGTTTGCAAATCGGTTATTTCAATGATTGCTCAAGAAATGTAGCACAGTGTTCAGTTCAGTTTTATTTTTAGCCTATATCAAATTGTCCAGGATTTCTCGCTCTTTTCCATTGTAATAATTACACCAACCCAAGTTTCGTCTACAGATGCAATATGCCAAAGAATATCACCTACGTACAATCTCCAAGAAGTGGTAAAAAAGGCAGAAACCAACCCATACAATATATATAAGTTAACTCCATAAAAAATAATTTTAAAAGTTACTGTGATATTAGGATTTTCTACTGATTTGGTAATAGAACATTATATTGCAAAACATGACACGATGCAGAAGAAAATCAATTTTAAAATCAGAAAATCCATTGCAAATACTGTACTTTATTTTGACAAATTCAATAAATCACAATTTAAATATTAACAGCTGTTGCATTAACCCTCCGAGCGTCACTTGTCGAAAAATCGACTCACGACACACTTTGTGTAGTGTCACTTGTCGATTTTTCGACACACGAACATCGTTTACGGCGAAGGGTCTATGACTGACTGAATCGGATTGAACTGGATCGAGTTAGGTATCGTTCTTTTTGTTAGATTCAGAGCTTTCTCCGGAGGTCTGTCTCTGAGCGCTATTTATTTTAGTTCCGAAAATATTGTAGCAGACAGCTGACGTGCGTATTTGTAAACAGCTTTGTTAACCTCGGACCGATGACTGATGTGTTTTATTACGTTTATCATTGTTTTAGTGTTAAAAATCAAAAGTAGTGATATACGTGGTGCATTATAAGAAGATTTAAGTGATTTTGAAGGGCTGGTTGATGATCCTGAAGAAGTAGGTAGTGATATTGATGTAAATTATCAGCCAGATTCCTAGCTATGGTTAGGCTATGCATTCTTAGCTAAACGCTATGTACTGAAATCTGTTTTTTGCCCATAACTTATTTATTTGCAAATCTACTTCCTTATATTATTATATATTTGTAATCCTCATAAAATTTAGAACAAAGTGGCTATTTTCAAATATTTATAGGCCTATAACTTATACAATTTCATTGAGCGCGAACTTTTTTTTTTTTTTTTTTGAAAATTTTCCAAAATATTTTTTTTTACCTAAAAAATTTTTTTGGAACAAATGTTCCTTATGTTTTATGTATAATATTGAAGCCCATGATTTTCCAAACAAAATGGTATATAGAACAGTAGAATTAACATTGTTTTAAGCTTCTCAGATCCGTTTTAATAAAACCTTGCAAATGCGCCAAAAATAGGCGGACATTAAGGCCTAAACTATGGACACTGGGAGGGTTAAAAAGTAGTGTAGAATTATGCATATGGTCGTAATGTAAACAAATCTGAAGAGGCAAATTTAAAGGCTTCTGGGGCAGAGCTCCAAGGGAATTTACCTCTTTCCTCTTTTGATGGCTCATCTACAGACCAAGACCTTTCTTTAGAGACCCCTACCAAGTTTCTACGCCCAGCCGTTCTCTCAAATTAGCTGTGACAAAAACCCCGTTTTCCTCCATAAGAATAACATGGGATGGGAATTTAAAGGCCACGGGGGCAGTGCCCCAAGGGAATTCACCATGTTTCTCTTTTGATGGCTCATCTACAGACCAAGACCTTTCTTTAGACACCTCTACCGAGTTTCTACGCCCAGCCGTTCTCTCAAATTAGCTGTGACAAAGAAAAACAGTTTCAAATTAATACATAGATAAGCCTAGATTTGACAAGATCCACAGTTTCAGTTACAGGTATGTTGGTGTACAGATTTGAAATATCGAATGAGACTAACCTACAGTTTGGTTCTAGATCTATGTTCTTAACACGTTCAACATATTCATAACTGTTCTTTACATTATTATAAATAAACTAGGTGAACCCCGTCGAAATTGACGGTTGCTTTAAAGGCTTACGATAATGCTGCTAACTTCGACAGAGTGAAATTATAAAAAATGTGAGCATTCAGCATAGTTTAATGATGAGTACGGTAATAAGTAAGTGTAGAAACAATAATCTTGACTATTGCGTTATTTAAAAAATATGGTTGATCATTCGATGAATAACATATTTCTCACACCGTCCTTCATAGGTGTTATTGTTCCTATGTTAACTGGTTTCTCTTCTTTTTGATGAATATAATAAAATGAAGAATGCTTTTGGAAGAATCTTTAATTAGTATTAGAATCGTTTTTGTGGATCTTTTGTGGTACACACTTCTGCAATTTCATCAGTGTTATGCAGATTAAATCTGTAAAATCGGTTGAGAAGGCACATTCTTACTTCAATGGGAGGCCCACCCTAAAGATGTCTAAGTTTTATTTTTCCTCTGTCACTTCAGTCTTCATACCGTACTACTGTGCCAATGAATAACCCTATAATTTTAGCAATAATAATTTTTTTAGCATAATTTTGATTCCATGACATGCAGATGTCAGTTGTCTCAGCCTTATCAATTGCATAAAGTGTTCAATATAATCTGTCTTCGGAATGTTAGGTATAGTGGAATATACTTGCAGTGAAGCTGGCTTTTATTCTTGTAATGAGGGACCTCGTTCATATGGTCATGGGACTTCATTGGCAACAAATAATGTAAATGACAAAGCAATGCTGCATTTCCAAAAAGCAAATACTGTAAATTGTTAGGCAAATAGTGACGTTTGCATGCATTGTTGTTAATCAACATATCTTAGAAAGGATGAGGATATCTAGTTCAAAAGGAACATGACTTTTCTGTCATGACAGTAACTGCCCAACTCTAATCTCATGAATCTATGATGATGTGTCCTGAATATGACAAAATATTGGCAAAAGTGGTCAAAAAGGTAGACACCAATTCGTACAATAGATATAAGATCATTTTCCACTGATTCAGGATTTTCCACTGATTTTGTAATGGAACGTTATATTGCAAAACATGAGATGCTGCAGACCAAAATAAATTTTAAAATCAGAAAATAACATTGCAAATAATGCTTATTTTTGACAGACTCAGTAACTTCCTATAATATGTGTTGTTTAAAATACAATTTAAATATTAAAAGCTGTTTCATAAAAAATTAGTAAAAAATTATCCATATGACGATAATGTAAACAAATCTGGGAAGGGAACTTTAAAGGTTTCTGGGGCAGAGCCCTAAGTGAATTTACTTTGTTTTTCTTTTTTTGACTCATCTACAGACCGAGACCTTTCGTGGGACAAGATATCCTATACACGCCGGTCTTATCTATTTTGTCACCTATCTCAGTTTTATTCGTCAACACGTTTTTAGTACGGTTTGTAGTTCTGAAGGCTAGTTCAATGCCTTGTATAGCGAGTTCTTTCTTTAATGTGTGTAATGTGTAACACGATATAAAGAACACCGACCAGATCCTTAACACCATAAACAAAAGTCTGCGTTTGCTCAACACCTTGTAGATTGTAATCATTCAATGAGTGATATTATGACCGGCTTGGAAGTTTTACATTATTGCGGGAAAGGTAATAAGTTGGACACACTTGAGGAGTATGAAATATATAAAATGAACATAGACGAAGAACACAAGGAATACATCCTCAATGATAAACTACAGTTCAAGTCCCACTCCCTCTTCAATACTGTTATCTCATCTGGAACAGCTGACCACTGAGCTGATAACAGAGAAGGACGAGACAAAGTTACATAACCCGTGTCCAGTCTACCTACAACTGCTGCCGTGCCGTGTCATGATAGCGCTATCGTGTTTTAAATGTTCCGTCCCAGACAGCACACTTTCTCCTCAGGACATCCCACGGATATTGCGACAGGATATGCAAGATATCCCATAGTGGTCCTATGGGCAACTTGGGATATCACAGGATATCCACAGGAATGCCTAATGTCCCCGCCCGGGGATGTCCTACGGATAAGCTCACACGCATATCCGTGGGACATCCGAGGTCATCCCAGGGTAGTCCTCAGGACATTCTCAGGACATATGGGACTACTATGGGATGTCCCTGGGATAAAGTGTGGTCTGGGCCAGAACATAAAAAACACAAAATAATATAGATTTAGTATGAAAAGCTTAATTATAAGTTTAGTAAATTGATTAAATAGTTAATAAACACAAATTTTGAAGAAAAAAACGAGAAAAAAGTTTTTGACCGAGTCGGGTTTCGAACCTGGTACCTTCGCCTTGTGAGCCTCTTACCTTACCTCCTGAGCTATCTGCGCTTGTTGATTATGGGTGTTTTCAAGTGGTTAAAGAGTAGCCGACAGTTGCAATGGTCGCAATACTTAAAATATTTTTGATACTACAGTATAGGCTATGTATGATTCTGTTAATCTGTTTAGGCCTCAAGTAGTTGAATTGTTTTTCTGGTAGTTGGAGAGGATACTGGTATTTGAATATAGATTATTTAATCACCATTAGATTAGCACTGTAATAATTGATGGTTATATGATTAAAATTAGTTTTTTGTTGTTTTATTAATTTAAAGTTAGAATTAAATTCACATTCCACACAACTATGATAGAACTCTAGTTTTCCTGAACTCAGTGGTAGTAATATGTCAGTAAAGTAAAGTCAACCCTTGCTAGCCATAGTATTAACAAGACATATTTTCAATCTGGGAAACCTTAAACTTTTAAAATAAATTATAAAACCTCAACATCTTAATGCGTGGGAATCTTATTTTTAGAAAAAAAACAGACCAAAATTATTTGTTAAATAATGAAGACGGCCCAAATTATAAATTCGGAATTACTGAAAATAATTACATCAAGAACAACACTGTAACATATCCAATTTTTCCAATATCCTTTAAATCATCTGTTTTAACTTTGTTTAAAATTAATTTATTAAGTAAATATTTACTTTTTGTACTTGTGTAAACACAGCCTGAAGATGGAAACCAAGTTTCTGAAAGCACTAGTGAAAAAAACAAATTATTATATATTGGCCTTGTTGAACATTTAAATTTAGATATACTGTACATTTCATCAGTGGTAGTATTTTTTTTCTTCAGTTTGTTACCGGGACATTACGGGACATTACAGGATATCCAGTGGATTTTGTACATGTCCCGGGATGTCATGGGACATTCTGGGATATCCTATGGCATTCGTACATATCCCGGGACTTTACAGGATATCCTGAGGTTAATTTACAAATCCCGGGACATTACGGTATATTGTAGGATATCCTGTGGATTTCGTACTCGTCCCGGGATTTTGCGGGATATCCTGAGGATAGCGTACATATCCCGAGACATTCTCAGGACATATGGGACTACTATGGGATGTCCCTGGGATAAAGTGTGCTGTCTGGGGTGTCCCGTGTTGTATTTTATGTAAATTATTTGATGTTTTGACGTAAAGCTCGACGATGTAGCAGTGCAACGAAACATGTTAGCTTTGGTCAACATTAATTGAAATAGAAAACACAATTTTGGACTACTGACGGAGGTAAGCCTATAAAGTCATTATCCGTAGTCCAGGGGCTATCAGAATGAATAATATAGTATGTTTTGTCTATGGGTTAACATTAGGGGATAAAAATAAAATGATTATAAATCAAGGTGTAGGGTAAATGTGGTATTATCAACAAATAAGAGTCTTTAAAAAAAATAATTTTATTTAAAGTTGAAAAGTTACAATAATTCTTACAAAAAGTTTTCAAATGGTGCCATACTGAAAGACTTATTTGGAATTGACAGCTGGCCCAACCCTTTTGTGTCTTATGGGAAACCATGGTACAATTCCTCTCACTTCAGGCTCCAGAAAGTTGACACATATGTCTGAAGCAATCTCATCCATTGGGATTTCTTCATCGGTCTTTGCTATGGTTGTTGCTTCATCTACTTCTTTTTTTATATCAGTCTCTATTTTCTGAAAAGTGATATCATACTTGCCTATAAAATTCTGTCATTAAAGCTGATTTAATGATGAGCAAAATTAAACAGTCACGTGAAATCTTATATAAATATAATGGTATACTCTTCAACACCACAAATAGGTGTACTGTGTGTTGCAGGTGAAAGTAAAACGTTTACCAATAAAACCTTGGGTCCTTTTTTCAAATACTTTTTTTGAAACTTTTATATATGACTGAGGTTATTGAAGAAACCTTATAAAAAGAATTGAAAAAAAAAACTGTATTCTACACAGAAATAAATACCTGGTGCCGCATCTCAGGGAAAGATTGAATAACATAACGGAATTAACTTACACAGATTTAAAAAAATTCATCCTCTAAGTTTTTGTGTAATTCTTGTTTCAATAATTGGTCAAATTCATGATAAATACCAAATAAATAAACTTTCAATATATTTTTTTTTTTATATACACTTTTTCTTTACAGAAGAGCTTTACCAACCATGGAGTAGGGTTCACACACCAAAATGATAATGGTATCAGCAATCTGACACATAGGCTACTTTCTCCATAGACTAACGAACACAAGTGTAGACCTCATCCCATTGTAAAATTTGAAGCTAGTTTTTTGTGTCTAGTTCACACACTGTAGTGATAATGATAATGATCATATATTTGCACATAACATACAAACTTGAAACTTGTGAAAATCATCTGTGCTTCGTCTAGATCATCTCAATACCTTAACTTCATCAGCGGTGACCAGTTGTGAGGATAGGATCTTCTCCTTGAATGATGTGATTGGGTCGCGAGTCTGTCGCACATTCTGTATCTCCTCCCTGGTGCGGTATGATGTGCCAGGATCAGACATGGAGTGGCCACTGTAGCGGTATGTTACAGTCTCCATCACTAGCGGCCCCTTGCCACTGCGACAGTGCTCCACGGCAAACTGTGTGGCTGCCCTCACTGCCAGCACATCCATCCCATCCACCTACAACAGCCATGTCATTTACATCTGATATTTGGCCAGTCCTCAGTTTATTCGGTTCTTCTCAGAAGCCAATATCAAAATGAACTTGCACGCACTAGTCTCTGTGACTCAAGCACCAAGCACTCTCACAGTTTATCTGTTTGAATTGATAATTGAATTTTACAGATTTACTGTTTGTTTACATTTTACTGTGTTAACTGTTCAGTTCAACTAGTAAACCTTATCTTCAAAAAGCTGATTGCTTATTTCCAGTGCAGTTTTTATTGGCAGCATATGCATATCGAGGGCCTAAGTCTAATACCACGTATGAGGAAAATGCCTACTTTACAGGAGAGCAAAAAAACGTTGTAATTATCATGGTTTTACGAGAAACAGCTCATTACTTTATAGGAATGTACATGTAGTTATTAAATTTGATAAAACAAACCACTTCTTATGTTTATTTATTATTTAAAAAGAGTTATTATATAAAAAAAGTAATATACGAGGTATTGTATTAAACTTTTTTTAAATGTGCCAGTTGGAGGGTTAACTTACGTGGTATTGAAATTGGGTATACGAGTTATTAGAATTTACCAATTTGTAAAATACGAGGTATTGCTAAATAAACACTAAGCATTTTTATTATAACAACTTTATTGTTATAACTACTATTTTATTGTATTGCAGAAAAAATTAGAGTACTAAATCATTCCTTAGCAAAAAAGTTAATACAATAATTTTTATAACAAGTTATAACGTATTTTTACAGTAAGAATATTCCTCCTTCTAAGACCTCGTATCTTAACACTGATTTATGACAACGTATTACATAAATTGTAATAAAGCCACAAATAAACTAATTGCATACATACAAAACTGAGTTAATTCTATCTTATATTTACTACATTTTGAACACTGAAATTCACTTTTTCACTATGAAACTGCATAACAAAAACAGACCGGCACAGCTGACCACCTTTTGTACACTGTAAACAATACAAGATACGTGTTGCTAGAAGGAAGGTTTACCAATACTGCAAGATACGAGGTCTACATTTCCCATTTTTTAAAATTATTTCCAATTTTTATAGACTTACGAGGTTTTAGAATTAGGTGAGGGACAATGAAATCTATTTTTTTTACTATAGATCTCAAAACCCTATATTTTGAAGATACGAGGTATTAGACTTAGGCCCTCGATATGTCTAATTTGCCTGGGCTAATTAGAATGATATGGGAATTTTAAATGAACAATTATTTAAATTTTGTCCGTAACCAATAAACGTACAAGAACACTTTGATATACTAAATTATTTGTTTTTTTAAGCTCTTTAAAAAGGTCTGGAGAAAAATTTATACATTTTGTGTTTTTAGGGTAAAAAGTGAAAACCCCCATCTTTACCCCATAAAACCTCTTCCCATGGTCAGATCATGCTGATTTGCGAACTCATTTAAGTTTTTCCTGCCTTACACCTTAAAACCAAATTCAATCAAAATCTGTTCAAACAGACAAACGGAAATTGAGATAAAACTTGTTTCGGCTTTTTTAGAGTATAAAATGTAAAAAAATTTAATATTCTCTCTGAGCAGTAAGTGTAAAGACCCAAAATAGCTATGGTGTGGAGTGTAGATGAGAAATACAAAAATACAGTGTTGAGATTGACCTTATGTTCAAAGTGAAATACTGAGTTTTTTTTCCTTTTTATTCTCTAGCTCACAACCATCTATACAAGAACAGTTTTTTCTGATGTAATATTTGACCATAGAGTACAAAGAATGTCTACCACAGTTACTTCAACTGTAATATACCAATAGAGTCTGTGACTAGAGTATAAATTAAAACTTAATACAACTTAGTTTTAACAAGTGCTCACAGATTTGGGTATGCTTTAGATTATTATGGTTACCTATAACTTACCCAAATGCCAGGTATGTAGTCACCTCTGGTGTAGTAGTTAGTGTTTGCTGATGCTCTCTCAGCACTAGTTCCCATGCCGTAGCCGTTATTCTCACATACAAACACACATGGGATGTCCCACAGCTTAGCCATGTTGTACACTTCAAATACTTGACCCTGATTGGCTGCCCCATCCCCATACAGAGCAAAGCACACCCCATCTATACCTTTGTACTTGGCAGCAAACGCAACTCCGACTCCCAATGGTACCTGCCAATGAAAAACTGACAGTAGATAGTGGTAAGCTCTTAAAAATAGTTATTTGTGCAACTATAGTGAGCAAAGTGAGCAATTGACTCACCCGAGAGAAATACTTACTCACGAGCCGTAGGCGAGTGAGGAATGGTTTCTCGAGTGAGGCAATTGCACTTTGCACTCGAGTTGCACATTATATTTTTCCTACAGTTTCCATAAAACAAATAAATTGGTAAAGAAACGTAACATATTTATATAGCAGTTACCCAACGCGCGTGTTGCTGCGCTTTACAACTATTATTTTAAATGGTTATTTGTTCTTTACAATCTATATAAATAAAATTAGAGTTTTGTCTGTACATTGCTTAGAATAATGAACTTTTTGGTTATTTTTACATTTCATAGGTCAGAGAAACCGAATCAAACCTTATCTCAATTTCTGTCTGTCTGTCTGTCTGTCTGTCTGTCTGTCTATCTGTCATTCTCTTGGTAACGCTAAAATACGCACTTTATTACAACTACTCCTCAATAACTATAGCACTGTCCCGCCTGAAACTTATTTTCCAAATACTATACATATATGAGATGGTTTTAGACGTATTTCATCGAATATGAGACAGTTAGATATTTAACAGTAAACCCTTGAAAATCAAGTTTTTGTCGATTTTTGACGTGGAATTTCTGGAAGCCCATGTTAACCTTATGAGAAATGAAATTATTGAATCTTAACAGCTGTTTCAATTAAACAAGTTGGTTCTGTTCTGTGATGTTCAACAGGGGTGCCCATCCCCCCCTAGACTCATGACGCACCCCCCCCCCCCCCCAATTGAGCAACAGCCCCCCCCCCCATAAATTATGTACACAACAAATGAGAAACATTATTCCCCCGCCCAGCACTATTTGTAAAACTATAAAAGAAGTTTTATAATTTTTTTAGATATTTAAAATTCAAACCCAGTTAATCTATATCAATAAAGTTATAGTTTTTTCTGTACATTGCTCAGAATTATACATATTTTGGGTTATTTATGTTTTATACATTGAAGAAGTTGAAACATGTCTTATCTCCATTTATGTCCGTCTGTCACGGCCCAGAAGGCATTTTATGCAGCCTACTCAATGCCTACTCTAAAGAAAACTAGAGTACCGATTATGATTCTAATGGTTTAATTGTATCCACAGGATTGGCGAGAGAGTCCTTATAGCCATTAAAATATGGCCTCACTATTTTGGAAATAAAATAACGGACGATCAAAAATACAATTTTGTGGGATTTTTCTAGTTTATTTTCTCCATGTTTACTACATACGTCATTAATTTATGAAATACTAATCCTATACTCTAATACGAGCAATGTTTGCTTGTATGTATGTATGTATGCTTGCTTGCTTGCTTGCAAACAAGATCTCGAAAACGGCTCCGACGATTTTCTTCAAATGTTGTAAATAGTTTATTTGTGGCCTAAAAACGAGTTTAGTGCAGTTAGAACTGCCAACAAAAATCTAATTACGTAGAAAAATGAAACTGAAAATTACATTTTTATAACATTAGTCTTATGGGTTGCTAGGTGTTGGCCACAGAAAACGTACTACTATACCCAGAATGCCAACCGCATGGTAAAAAGCATTAAGCGGTTTGAGAGAGCTTTGCCTGTCAATCCGTAGGCAGCGCCACCAGCGTTGCTATGCTATTGCATGGCAACGCTGGTGGCGCTGCCTACGGTTTGACAGGCAAAGCTCTCTCAAACCGCTTAATGCTTTTTACCATGCGGTTGGCATTCTGGGTTATAGTAGTATAGTACGTTTTCTGTGGTGTTGGCTGAATTAAATAACAAGGAAAAAGTAAACAAAAGACTTGAAGTTGTAGCATGTGTTCATAATAAGCCAAATACCCACAGTATACTAGCAAATTACAAATACAGTACAAAAGGAAAAACATCACTTGTTAATATTTAGCAAAGATTATACTGAAGATTACTCAATACATTGTAGTAAAGGGTAGCAGTGCGAAGTCTGGAATCTGTTTATGACGATTAGATTAAGGTATTTGCAATCATAAAATGCTATGGGAAGGGAGAAAACAGGTCCGCGACGTAGGGAGTGGTGAAGGAAGTAGTAAAGGCAATCATAAAATAATATGGGAATGGAGGTAAACAGGTCCGTGACGTAGGAAGTGATGAAGGAAGTAGTAAAGGCGATTAGTCCGGAGTGTGGGGACTGTTTATGACGATAAGATTAGGGTATCTGCAATCCTAAAATGCTATGGGAAGGGAGGGAAACAGGTCCGCGACGTAGGAAGTAGTGAAGGAAGTAGTCAAGGCGAGTGATCCGGAGTGTGGGAACTGTTTATGTTGATTATATTAGGGTATCTGCAATCCTAAAATGCTATGGGAAGGGAGGGAAACAGGTCCGTGACGTAGGAAATGGTGAAGGAAGTAGTCAAGTGTATTCATTGGTCAAGGCGAGTAGTTCGGAGTGTGGGAACTGTTTATGACGATTAGATAAGGGTATGGGCAATCCTAAAATGCTATGGGAAGGGAGGGAAACAGGTCCGTGACGTAGGAAATGGTGAAGGAAGTAGTCAAGTGTATTCATTGGTCAAGGCGAGTAGTTCGGAGTGTGGGAACCGTTTATGACGATAAGATTAGGGTATCTGCAATCCTAAAATGCTATGGGAAGGGAGGGAAACAGGTCCGCGACGTAGGAAGTAGTGAAGGAAGTAGTCAAGGCGAGTGATCCGGAGTGTGGGAACTGTTTATGTTGATTAGATTAGGGTATCTGCAATCCTAAAATGCTATGGGAAGGGAGGGAAACAGGTCCGTGACGAAGGAAGTGGTGAAGGAAGTAGTCAAGGCGAGCTGTCCAGAGTGTGGGAACTGTTTATGACGATTAGATAAGGGTATGGGCAATACTGAAATGCTATGGGAAGGGAGGGAAACAGGTCCGTGACGTAGGAAATGGTGAAGGAAGTAGTCAAGTGTATTCATTGGTCAAGGCGAGTAGTTCGGAGTGTGGGAACCGTTTATGACGATAAGATTAGGGTATCTGCAATCCTAAAATGCTATGGGAAGGGAGGGAAACAGGTCCGCGACGTAGGAAGTAGTGAAGGAAGTAGTCAAGGCGAGTGATCCGGAGTGTGGGAACTGTTTATGTTGATTAGATTAGGGTATCTGCAATCCTAAAATGCTATGGGAAGGGAGGGAAACAGGTCCGTGACGTAGGAGATGGTGAAGGAAGTAGTCAAGTGTATTCATTGGTCAAGGCGAGTAGTTCGGATTGTGGGAACTGTTTATGACGATTAGATAAGGGTATGGGCAATCCTAAAATGCTATGGGAAGGGAGGGAAACAGGTCCGTAACGAAGGAAGTGGTGAAGGAAGTAGTCAAGGCGAGCTGTCCAGAGTGTGGGAACTGTTTATGACGATTAGATAAGGGTATGGGCAATACTGAAATGCTATGGGAAGGGAGGGAAACAGGTCCACGACGTAGGAAGTGGTGAAGGAAGTAGTCAAGGCGAGCTGTCCGGAGTGTGGGAACTGTTTATGACGATTAGAATAAGGAATTTGCAATCCTAAAATGGGGAGCCTACCAGTAGACCGACAAGATACTTTGTCGTCTGGCCACTAGACCGTCTTTTTTAATTAAATAGATAAATGCTGAAAACCAGTACGTCGACAAGTTATTTCATCGTCAGTCCAGTTGACCGGCCTGTAAAACTAAATTATTATATTCGAGAAACCAACTTGTCGTCAATCCTCCCGACCGACTTACCACTTGCTCGTCTTTTAGGTGGGGATAGGGGGCAGAGTGGGAGGAGCTAACCGGGGATTACCCAGGAGTTTGAGGCGCTTCTCATGGTTGAACCACCTCACTCGAGGCTAGAAGCCAGTATTGCCAACTGAAAGTACTATAGCTCCGTCGAACACTACACACGCGGCGTGTTTACACAGTCTGGCGTTAAGTTGAACGCGCAATTCTCGTTGCGTCGTTTCTATAGCAACCGTGCCGTGACATTGTCCTTGGTCTCGCGCATTCCTCTGCCTTTGTATTATTTAATCTGCATCGAAAGATAAGACTCGCTTATATGCATTGACTATTAAGTCAATTAAAAATTTCATTCGGGGTTTTTGATCGTTTGTTTGGATAAAACTACGTACCGTATATTGTAGAATTAAATTTGTAGTGTGGTTATATGGTATTATGGTATATATATATATATATATATATATCCTACTAATCCTACTAATATTATAAATGAGAAAGTTTGGATGTATGGATGTATGTTTGTGACAAGTAAACGCAGAAAATACTGGCCGGATTGGGCTGAAATTTGGTGTGATGATAGATCACATTCCCGATTAACATATAGACGCATTCTTATCTCAAAAGTCCGTTCGGGCTCCGCCCCAGTGGCTCTGGAATTTCCCATGTTAACCTTATGAGTAATATTTAAAACGAATAAAAGAATTTCGTCAGCTGTTTCAAATACACAAGTTGGTTCTGTGATATTAAATTCGCATTAACAAGTTATAAAGTTTTCTGACAGGGTACAGTACTATTAATTTAAATGAATATATAGAATAATCCATAGCCTATATCGATATTTTTCATTGTTATGAGTGTAGGACAGATACTAAAGTGCAGCCAAATTTTGTTTCTAAAAGTGGTAGCCTATATGTGTAATTATTTTATACAACAAATGTAAAGATCAAAATGTTTGTATTTTGTGTCTTCTTCCCGTTGCAAAGCACGGGTACAACAGCTAGTATATACATATATATACATATATATATATATATGTACCAGGTTTTGCGTTGGATTTTTCGTCAGTTTCGTCATTGAGCTCTCTCGTAGTAAGTTGTATCACTTGCGTCTTGTTCATGTTCTGTGGCATATTTTGTATCACTTGCTTCCTGAGACGTATCAGAGTGGTGGAAACTGGTCCACGACGTAGAGGAAGTGGAGGGAAGTTGCAAAGGCAAAAGGTCTGGAGTGTGGGAAATGCCAAGCGACTATA